TGTTGAGGAGGGAGTTCCACAGCTGAGGGGCTTGTTGTTGCAGCGGTTGTTGCTGCTGTTGGGGAGGGAGTTCCACAGCTGAGGGGCTTGTTGTTGCTGCTGCTGCTGTTGCATTTTTACTGGTAGGGAAATGGAGAGAGATCCATTGTGACATTTTCTACTTCAGGTGCATTCACTCTGTAGAATTAATGCTGTGTAAATGTTGACTGCAGTGGCTCAGTGCTATGGAATGCAGGGATCTTTAGCCTTCTCTGCCAAAGTGTGCTGATATAGACCCAGGTGGAGAAGAGTGTAGAGAAAAGAGAATTTCCAATGTGATTCTAGGCTGCATCAATAGGAACATAGTGTCTAGATCAAGAAAAGTAATTGACCCACTTTATTCTGTGTTGGTCAGACCTCACTTGGAACACCATGTCCAGTCCCGGGCATAATAGTGCAAGAAGGATATGGACCAGGTGGAGCATGTCCAGAGGAGATCAAGCGAAATGGTCAAAGGTCTGGAAGCCAAGCCCTATGAGAGGCGGCTTAGGGAGCGAGAGATGTTCAACCTGTAGAAGAGAAGGTTAAAAGGAGACATGATAGCCATTGGGTTGCTGTGAGTTTTCTGGGCTGTATGGCCACATTCCAGAAGCATTCTCTCCTGACATTTCACCAACATCTATGGCAGGCATCCTAAGAGGTTGTGATGTCAGTTGGAAACTAGGAAAGCGAGGTTTATATATCTACGGAAAAATGTCCAGGGTGGGAGAAAGAAATCTTGTCTGCTTGAGGCAAGTGTGAATGTTGCAATTAGCCACCTCGATTAGCATTTAACGGCCTTGTAGTTTCAAAGCCTGACTGGTTGCTGCCGGGGGAATCCTTTGTTGGAAGGTGTTAGCTGGCCCTGATTGATTGATTCTTGTCTTGAATTCCCCTGTTGTTTCAGTGTTGCTCTTTATTTATTCTGATTTTAGAGGGTTTTTTTAAAGCTGGTAGCCAGATTTTGTTCATGAGCACCCGATGAACCAAACGGGACACAGCATATTATTGGAGAACACAGAAATGCTGGACCACTCTAACAACTACCATGTCAGACTACACAGAGAAGCCACTGAAATCCACAAGCATGTGGACAATTTCCACAGAAAGGAGGAAAATGAACAAAATCTGGCTATCATGAAAATGAACAAAATCTGACTACCAGTATCAAACAACACTAAAATAATAACAGTAAATTGTATTTTTAAAAAACCCTCTAAAATCAGGACAGTAAATAAAGTGCAACACTCACAAAACAGGGGAATTCCAGACAAGAATCAATCAAGGCCAGCTAATGCCTCCCAACAAAGGATCTCCCAAGCAGGAAGCAGCCAGGCTTTGAATCTACAAGGCTATTAAATGCTAATCATGGTGGCCAATTGCAACATTTGTTCTTTCTCCCACCCTGGACTTTATTCCACAGATATAGAAACCTTACTTGCCTAGTTTCTAATGCATCCTTCAACCTTTGAGGATGCCCGTTTCACCTGCCATAGATGCAGGTGAAACGCCAGGTGAGAATACTTCTGGAACATGGTTATAGAGCCCAGAAAACTCACAGCAACCCAGTGATTCCTGCCATTAAAGCCTTCGACAACTCATGATAGCCATGTTAAAATGGTCAAAAGGATGTCACATTGAAGAGGGAATCAGTTTTCTGCTGCTTCAGAGTCTAGGACATGGAGCAATGGCTTCAAACTTAGAGATTCCACCTAAACATTAAGATGCACTTCTGTCAGCAAAAGGAAGTGTGATGGAGTCTCCTTCTCTGGATATTTTTAAATAGAGGCTGGATGGCCATCTGTCGGGAGTGCTTTGATTGTGCCTTCCTGCCTGGCAGAATGGGGTTGGGCTGGATGGCCCTTGTGGTGCCTTTCTATTCTACGATTCCAGATAGAGGCTCATTGTTCCCCAGCCTGTTCTTTTTTACTTTTTCCATTTCAAACCTTTCCTCTCTCCTCCCGCTTGAAGTCATCGTTTACACATTTTGCTGTGCAGTTTGGCCTCAGCTGCCTCTTGACATCATTACGATTATGATTTTTCCCTATTATCATTACAGCAAGAGGAACAAAAAAAACTTCCTACGACTATGGAGCTCAGGAAGCCAGGACATGCACTCTCTAAGGTAATTGGCCTCTAATGCTTCTGCTATCAAGCATGACATTGCGTGCATTCGCTTTAATGTTATCTAGAAAGGCCTCCGGATATTGTGATGGAAAGCGAAAGGGGGCGGGGTGGGCTTTAGTAGCTTTCCTGACTCTTAGCCCTGGCTTTGTAAACAGGGACAGCCTAATAGGAAAGAAGTGGAAGCCCACTTGGACCACAATGTCCAGGGGTCCTGGGTAAATTCACCAAGATCATACACATACACACCCATTCCGGTGTCTGTGTATACAGGAGGGAAATGCATCTTCCAAACTTAGAATCATAGAATCATAGAGTTGGAAGAGACCTCATGGGCCATCCAGTCCAACCCCCTGCCAAGAAGCAAGAATATTGCATTTAAAGCACCCCCAACAGATAGCCATCCAGCATCTGTTTAAAAGCCTCCAAAGAAGGAGCTTCCACCACACACCAAAGATCAAGCCTCCTTTTGGCAGCACTGTGTATATTTCTGCAACTCTGTTGGAATATTGTGTCCCATTCTGGGCACTACAATTGAAGGGAAATGTTGACAAGCTGGAATGTGTCCAGAGGAGGGCAACTAAAATGATCAAAGGTCTGGAGAACAAGCCCTATGAGGAGTGGCTTAAAGGGCTGGGCATATTTAACCTGAAGAAGAGAAGGCTGAGAGGAGACATGATGATGGCCAGGTATAAATATGTGAGGGGAAGTCATAGGGAGGAGGGAGCAGGCTTGTTTTTTGCTGCCCTGGAGACTAGGATGCGAAACAATGGCTTCAAACTACAAGAAAGGAGATTCCATCTGAACATGAGGAAGAACTTCCTGACTGTGAGAGCTGTTGAGCAGTGGAACTCTCTGCCCCAAAGTGTGGTGGAGGCTCCTTTGAAACAGAGGCTGGATGGTCATCTGTCAGGGATGCTTTGAATATGATTTTCCTACTTCTAGGCAGGGGGTTGGACTGGATGGCCTACAAGGTCTCTTCCAACTTATGATTCTGTGACATTATAGGTTAAACCCTATATATATGGGCCATAAAGCATGATTCAGATATTCCGATCTATGAAGACATTTGGTATCCTCAGGCTCCTGTGCACCTTGGAAAAATCCTTTCAGTGTAAGTGTTACTCTGTAGCAATCCAGCCGATGCACAAAGGGACCTTTCCATGATTCTACAAAGACTTGAAGTTGAAAGCATCTGGATTTTATGGGGCAATCCAGGTCTTGGATGATAAATCAAGCTTAATAACCATTCTGTTTGCTTACGTTCAGTGAATCCATGCATCTAATCAGATACACTATGTTCATGTTATAATGGCTTTATTAGCCGTTAAGATGCCATCAGATGGAAGTGTAACTATTTGGAGGGCATAATGAGGGGAATTGTTTTTCCAATTATGAATTCTTCCCTCTCATGAAATTCTCCTTCAATTCTCAAATTGCTAGCATTGCAAGCAATGTGAGACAGGAAACTATTCTGTGCCCAGACCTCTTTTATTTGCTGTGCTTGATTTCCTTTGGCAACATTGCGTGCACCTTTCCTTTTAGATTTTTTTTTTCTGTGTCAGGGGCAACTTGAGAAACTGCAATGTTTGGTGTTTTACCATCCTTGTAGGAGGCTTCTCTCATATCCCCGCATGGGGAGCTGGAACTGACAGAGGGAGCTCATCTGTGCTCTGCCCGGATTCGAACCTCTGACCTGTCGGTCTTCAGTCCTGTCGGCACAAGAGATTAAACCATTTCACCACCGGGAGCTTCTTTTAGATACCTAAACTATATATCTAAACACGAAGCCAAAGTTGCAATCCTAGCAATTTGGAGACTAAAGGAAAGTTTCTTGGGGCAACAGAATTTGTCTTTGAAAGGGCAATGCCTGACCTGATCAATTCCTGCAAATGCCCTCAGAAGCACTTTATTTTATCTGTTAGTGCCATCAAACCCTACTTTATCCTCCGGATCCCCTGTCCAGATACATTACATTGCTGTCTCACCCAGTGTTTTTAATTTTTTTAATCCATTGGAACTGGCCCTGCCCACTGTGATCGATTTCTGTGTCTTAAATGTTGTGATTCTGCTTTGTTGATATGTTATTTATAATGGTTTTTATGTTGTATTTTTATTTCTTTATATTTTATTGCTGTGTTCTGTTATATTGTAATTGTAATTTGTTGTTTGGGCTTGGCCTCATGTAAGCCGCCCCGAGTCCCCTTGGGGAGATGGTGGTGGGGTATAAATAAAGTTTATTATTATTATTATTACTGACACAAAAGCACAGTATGTCACAGCAAACGAGATCTATATGCTGGATTTCGTATCACAAAATCACAAGTTGAACACTTCCCAAGTTGAACACTTCCCAAGGAATGTGTGATGTATTTTCGAATGATATGCGCAGATCCAAGTAAGGTGGCTTTCTGCAGTTGACAGATCATGATTTTGTCGATGTTTATTGTTTCCAAATGCTGGCTGAGATCTTTTGGTACGGCACCTAGTGTGCCGATGACCACTGGGACCACCTGTACTGGTTTATGCCAGAGCCTTTGCAGTTCGATTTTGAGGTCTTGATAGTGGCTGAGTTTTTCCTGTTGTTTTTCCTCAATGCTGCTGTCACCTGGTATGGCGACATCAATAATCCAGACTTTTTCTTTTCCACAATCGTGATGTCTGGCGTGTTGTGTTCCAAAACTTTCCCACAGTATTTTTGCATGTTCGTTTTCCATGACCTTTGCAGGTTTATGATTCCACCAATTCATCATCATCATTATGATGATGATGATGATGATGATGATGATGATGATGATTATTATTATTATTATCAGCTGAAACATTCACATCTAGCCCCAGCAAGCAAAAGTCCTTTGTCTCACCCTGGTCATCCCACAGATATATAAACCCATTTTTCCTACTTCCAACAGACCTCACTACCTCTGAGGATGCTTGCCATAGATGCAGGCGAAACGTCAGGAGAAAAATTGCCTCCAGAACATGGCCATATAGCCCGGAAAAACCTACAACAACCCATTATTATTATTATTATTATTATTATTATTATTAATGCTTTCGTAGCCATCGTTGTTCTCGCCCCATAAATTTACAACCATACTTCGAGTTTTGTCCAGCAATCCGAATCTGGATAATTTCAGGGCCAAAGCTAGTGTGTGTGTATGTGGGAGCGTCCCTTGCCTTTATATTTGTGCAAGCCTGCTGATTATTGCAAAATGATCTGTTATTAGTTAGTATGCCTGCTTTGGCCTAAATGCATTACCTGATCAAGTCTGCCTGTCTATCGGAAACAGCATTAATCACCCTATAATGGATGTGAATGAACCACTTAAGGGATAGGTCACCTGTAAGTAGAAGTGGAGGAGCCTGAGACAAGTATTTGGCAGCTTGTGTGTGAGACAGAGAGATGAAAGAGGAGACAGCCAGAAATATTTTGGATGTGAGTTTAAGCCTTAAAACAGGGCTGGGTGCAGTGTAGCCCAGGCATGGGCAAACTTTGGCCCTCCAGGTGTTTTGGCTCCTGGCATGCTCAGCCAATTAGCTGCCGACACATACCTCTGTAGTCAACCCACCACATCATGGTGCCATCCCCACAATCTGCTAGTCAAAATACACTTGAAAGCCATGGTTTGCTGTTGGTATTTAAACTCTAGCTTGTTTAAATTGTGGAGTTTATCTCAGGAGGCAAACAAATCACAATTACATCAGGATAATCATATCCTTGACTGGGTCTTATTGCATCATGGGGCTTCTCTCTCGTCACTCCCTTGGTGGGAAATGGCCTGGAAAAAGTTTCGCTTACAAATTCCAATAACTTCTCTTCTCTTCCTGATCCCAAAGAGCAACAGAAGTGGACGGCTCTGAGCGATAAGTCCCACTGTTGTCTTACTACGTACTATTGCAATTTGCCTGCCTCTTGTGAGAAACTCCGTGATTTAAACAAGCTAGAGTTTGAGAGCTATAGTGTGCGCTTCCTTATTGCTTGAGCTGCTCATGATGAAAATGAAGCTAGCAAAAGGATGAGAGAGAAACAGACCAGAATGAGGAAAATGGACTGGTTGGTTTTGTAGCCTGCGGGAAATTTTGCGACGAAAGCAACAAACCATTGCTTAGCGTGACATGAAAATGCAATCATCATATTTTCAGGTTGCAGTTACTGATTATATGAATAAAAATTGCAAGGAAGAGGGAAGTATCTTTTTTTTTATCCTAGAGGAAGAAAACATGATGAGGGGAAAATATGCTTGTAATGAATGGACAAAATGCATCTTGATGTGTTTTAAATTTTTAATCCTCTTTGTTATCCTGTCCATTTATCCTGGCCTTCCAGGAAGAGCTGCTGGCCATTTAAATCTGGTCCAAGGCCAAAACATCTTTGTAAGGAGAGGGGTTGATGGTGCGTGGGCTTTTTGCCTGTCTACTACAGATGTCAGGAGAATTGTGATTAACTCATTAGAGTTGGGGACTTGATGGATGTGCGCTAATGCTCCTCTAAGAGTTGTTCATCGTCTCCTGAGTGGACAACTGATAGCAGAGAGAGCAGAAATCAAGAGAAAGCAGACACAAGGCTAGTTATGCTGGAAATAAATACAATAAATAAATATTTAGCATTTCCTCTTTCAATTGCTCTGTCGGTGGAAATGTTCACTGTTTGGGAAAATAGGGAGACCTTAATAGAGGAAAAGGGAAAATGTGACTCCAAAGGCAACCCCATGGCCCTCTAAGATTGTTGGGATATCTTCAACACATTGTTCCCATCTAAGTAAAGTAAAGGTAAAGGTTTCTCCTTGACTTTTAAGTTTTCTTGTGTCCGGCTCTGGGGGTGGTGCTCATCTCAGTTTCTAAGCCAAAGAGCTGGTGCTGTCCATAGACGCCTCCAAGGTCACATGGCCAGCATGACTGCATGGAGCGCTGTTACCTTCCAGCTGGAGCAGTACCTATTGATCTAATCACATTTACATATTTGAACTGCTAGGTTGGCAGAAGCTGGGCCTAACAGCAGGAACTGACCCCGCTCCTCAGATTTGAACCACATCCTTTCAGTCAGCAAGTTCAGCTGCTCAGTGGTTTAATCTGCTGCACCACCAGGGATCCTTCCCATCTAAGTACTGAATATATTCGAGTAGAAGCCTAGTCTTTCAGGCCATTTTTTAGGCTGAAAAAGTGCGCCTTGGCATATACTCAAGTCAAGGTTATTTATTATTTTACTCTATTGTTATTATTATTATTATTATTACATTTATTATTTTATTTCTCTTATTATTATTATTGCATTTATCATTTTATTCTATTATTATGAGTACATACATTTATTATTTTACTTCATTATATTACTATGATTATTTATTATTTTACTCTCTTTATTGTTATTGTTACATTTATTATTTTACTCTATTATTACTGTTATTTTTAGATTTCCATTATTTTACTCTATTATAATAATTATCACATTTATTATTTTACTCAATTTATTATTATTGGAAGGATACGTAAGCACATTTACACTGAACAAGGTTAGAATAATGGTTTAATCAGAGTTGGGCAATCTTATCTTAAATTGCAGTTTTATGTAATAGTCATAAATATTTAACCTACTGATGCCTCCGTTAATGTAATTGTGTTGGTATCTATTTTTGTTTTGAAATTTACCAGCTGCATTTCCCACCCTTGGCTTATACTTGAGTCAATATGTTTTTCCAGTTTTTTGTGGTAAAATTAGGTGTCTCGGCTTATATTCGGGTCGGCTTATAGTCGAGTATATACGGTAATTTCTATAAAACCAGTACTTGCACTTCTAATCATTTAATGTGGCTTAAAAAAACCTTTTGCAAGCCTTATGTTAACCACAGAGATGAATTAGAGAATCAAGATAAACATATTAATCTAACCCACGAATAATTAACTCCACAAAAGTGAAAGCCGCAAATATGGATAGCTAACTGTACAAAAGCCCTGGCGTTAGCGAGGATGCTGCAGCTGTTTTAGATCTCTTATCTGATTTTGGTGTGTTATTTTTCCCCCTTTTAGGCCGTCTCCAGAGGAGGCTCAAGAATGGTCTGACTCTTTGGAAAAGCTGTTACTTCATCCGTGTAAGTGTGTGTTGCTCACCAGCCATCTTAAACATGTCCTTCTCCAGACAGCGCTGCCTAGGGGACCTGAGCAAGTGAGAATCCGACAGCCAATCTGGTGAATCCTCAGTTGGCTCCCGCAGGAGTGAACATCCATCCATCCCTGGTTCAGATTGCCTTTTGTTTTGACCGGGGACAAAAGCATCTCTCCAGTTTCTTTCAATTCCATTTGATTTTCTACCCCTAAATCTTAACTTCAGTCCATTCTAAAGATAAACACATGTGCCAGCTTTTTTAAAATGAGAGATGAAACAAAACTCTTCCCTCATTTGCATTTACCCAGTTTCATTAGGAAAGCTATTTCCAGCATGCCTGGTACAAAACTATTGAAGATGGGGAAAGGAAGGAGAGGTGATAACTTCATTATTAATTCTCAACCTTCCTAATGCCATGACCCCTTAATACAGTTCCTCATGTTGTGGTGACCCCCAACCCTTCATTATTAACTCCTTTCAGGATTGGCCATTTCTATACATGGAAGGGTTTTGGATATAGCATGAAGCCTACTATGCCCTAGTCCAAAAGGGAACTTACATGTGTTTACCTCACTTACGGGAACCTGGATTTATCTCCAATTTGAGATACACTTTTGTGGGAGTGAATGCCATGGAATGCATTAGGAATAAATTCTGAAAACGCTAGTCAGTGGGCACTCCATCTGGGCCTGCCTTTGGATTGTTCCCAGGAGAAGAACTTTGGTTTACTTTCCCTTCTCCTCTTCTTTGCCCAAGCATCCTAAGGGTAATAGTCTAAACCAGCAATTCCCAACCTTCCTAATGCCACGACCCCTTAATACAGTTCCACATGTTGTGGTAACTCCCAATCATAACATTTTTGTTCCTACTTCATAACTGTAATTTGCTACTGTTATGAATCGTAATGTAAATATCTGATGTGCAGGATGTATTTTCATTCACTGGACGAAGTTTGGCACAAATACCTGATCCTCCCAAATTTGAATACTTATTTTAAGAGGACTAGATGTATGTTGTATGTTGTATGTTATGTCTGCATTGTTTGTTTTTGATAAGGCCAATTGGCTAATCAATAAAATTGTTGTTGTTGTTGTTGAATACTTGTGGGGTTGGGGGAGGGATTGATTTTTTGTTTGGGAGTTATAGTTGCTAGGATTTATAGTTAAGCTACAATCAAAAAGCATTCTGAACTCCACCAATGATGGAATTGAACCAAACTTGGCACACAGAACTCCCATGACCAATAGAAAATACTGGAAGGGTTAGGTGGGCATTGATCTTGAATTTTGGAATTGTAGTTGACCTACATCCAGAGAGCACTGAGGACTCAAACAATGATGGATCTGGACCAAACTTGGCACGAATACTCAATATACCCAAATGTGAACACTGGTGGAATTTGGGGAAAATAGACTTGACATTTGGGAGTTGCAGTTGCTGGGATTTATAGTTCACTTACAATCAAAGAGCCCCTTGAACCCCACTAATGATACAATTGGGCCAAACTTCCCACACAGGACCCCCATGATCAACAGAAAATACTGTGTTTCCTGATGGTCTTTGGTGACCTCTCTGATGCCCCCCCCCCCCCAGGGATCCCAGCCCCCAGGTTGAGAAACACTGGTCTAAACTGCAGGAAAGAAAAAAAAACCCAAGAATGTTGTCATTTATTCCGTGTTTATAGTTTTGATGCAGTTTGCGGTGCTTTCGGGTTGCTTCTTTGTTTATTTTAGCAGAACTCATTAAACTTCAGGTGCAACATAAAAAAGCACAATAATGTTTTGATCCCTTGACTTCATCTGTCTCTAGATGGCCGAGCTGCCTTTCACGCTTTCTTGGAGTCAGAATTCAGCGAAGAGAACCTGGATTTTTGGATGGCATGTGAAGAATACCGGAAGCTCCGTGGCTGTGAGAAACTCCAAGAAAACGCACGGAAGATATATGACGAATACGTTACAATACAGGCCCCTAAAGAGGTATTAAATGTTAAAGTGGTATCCAAACCTCTGTTTTTGTCTCCTAGATTAAATGTTTTTGTTTCTGAGATGGAACTGAGTCATTATGATGAAAGAGTCAAAACTGTGCTCCTTGATATGTATCTAGACTCCAGCTCCCATCTTCTCTTGTGTAAGCCAGATTAATAGGACTGGAGTCCAACAATTGCTGGAGTGAGTTTCCCATCCCTGCTTTAGGAATATTTCATAAATTCCCTCCTTAGCACTTTTTAATTATTATGTCAGAAGCAAATTGAGAATCCATTTATAATGTATAGAAAAACCACAAACAGAGTTAAAAACTTGGCATTATGCAAAATTTCCTTTGACCAGAAGCTGACCACTTGGGATACTTCTGGTGTGGCTGTAAGGAGGACCTTCATTGTGCATATGGCAGGGCTCAAGTTGCATTGTGGTAGGTGGTTTGTGGTTTGCTCTTCTCCACACTCACATGTCATGGACTCCACTTTGTAACCCCATTTCCTTCAGATTGGCTCTGCATCTTATGGTACCAGAGTGCAGTATGTTCAGGGCCTTCCAAGTCACCCAGTCTTCTGTGTGCCCAGGGGAGAGTTTCTCATCCAGTATCAGACACTGATTGAGGTTCTGGGTTTTAGCCTGCCACTTCTGGACTCTTGCTTGCTGAGGTGTTTCTGTGAGTATCTCTGAAGATCTTAGAAAGCTATTTCTTGATTTGAGGCATTGGCATGCTGGGTGATACCCAAACAGAGGATGTTGATGCTTTGGTCTTTTCGTTACATGCTGCTACTTCCCGGCGGATGTCAGATAGCGCAATGCCAGCTAAACAGTATAATTTCTCCAGTGGTGTAGGACATAGACATCCTGTGATAATGCGGCATGTCTCATTAAGAGCCACATCCACCGTGAGATGTATCCCACACTGGGCATGTGTGCTCAGCAGCAGAATAGCAAAGTGCAAGGGCAGGTGTCTTCACTGTGTCTGGTTGTGATCCCCAGGGTGTGCCAGTCAGCTTTCATATGATATTATTTCTAGCGCCCACTTTTTGCTTGATAATCAAGCAGTGCTTTTATAAGTCAGAGTACAGTTCAGAGTAATTCCTAGCATTGCAGTTTCTGGAATCAACCCCTAGTTACGCAGGCATGAAAATTCTGGGAACTGTATAGTCAACAAAAACAGCAACAATGAGTTTTCCCAAGCACTGATTAATTATGCACAAGGGAATACAACCATTAATATCATATTGCAATAATACCATCTGCTAGAGGGCCAGAGAAATGGACTCTCCCTTCGTCTGGCAAGTAATCTGGGATATTAATGAGGCATTTCACGTTTTAGTGGTGATCTCCTATGATGACAATGGAGTGGTGCTTATGATAGATGAGCCTAAAAGGAAACCAGTGAAATGAGAGAAATAATCAATCAAGAATGCTTTTTTAAAAAGCCTAATTCGTGCCAGCAATTTAAATGCTAAAGTGCCTCATTTCTTACAGGCTAAAAAGTGTGATTTAGCCGGCAGAAGAGCACTTGTTAAAAGCTCAGTGCGTTAAACATCTTGAAGTTATGCAATCAGAAGTTAGGCATTGCTGAGTCCCTAAAAAAGTTTTTTGTGTATATGCACATATATGCAAAGGGCCAGTCTGTGCCCCAGAACCATTCTGGAAGCCTGCCAATCTGCTGCCAGATGTTGGCAACAAAACACTAAAAGATATTAAGGCCAGCATTACAAATCCTTTTCCTTTCCCATCAATTATTAATTATGATGATTATTATATTTGTTCATCTTCCCCCGGAGGACTGTGATCCAAAGCAGGTCACAACTTTGATAACCATACAATTAAAAAACATAGAATCATAGGATCAAAGAGTTGGAAGAGACCTCATGGGCCATCCAGTCCAACCCCCTGCTAAGAAGCAGGAATATTGCATTCAAATCACCCCTGACAGATGGCCATCCAGCCTCTGTTTAAAAGCTTCCAAAGAAGGAGCCTCCACCACACTCCGGGGCAGAGAGTTCCACTGCTGAACGGCTCTCACAGTCAAGAAGTTCTTCCTCGTGTTCAGATGGAATCTCCTTTGTAGTTTGAAGCCATTGTTCCGCGTCCTAGTCTCCAAGGAAGCAGAAAACAAGCTTGCTCCCTCCTCCCTGTGGCTTCCTCTCACATATTTATACATGGATATCATATCTCCTCTCAGCCTTCTCTTCTTCAGGTTAAACATGTCCAGCTCCTTAAGCCACTCCTCATAGGGCTTGTTCTCCAGACCCTTGATCATTTTAGTCACCCTCCTCTGGACACATTCCAGCATGTCAATATCTCTTGTTCAGTCGTCTCCGCCTCTTCGTGACCTCATGGACCAGCCCACGCCAGAGCTCCCTGTCGGCCATCACCACCCCCAGCTCCTTCAAGGTCAGTCCAGTCACTTCAAGGATGCCATCCATCCATCTTGCCCTTGGTCGGCCCCTCTTCCTTTTACCTTCCACTTTCCCCAGCATAATTACCTTCTCTAGGCTTTGCTATCTCTCTTCAATTGTGGTGCCCAATAACAAAAGAAAGGTATTAAACATAGAATTAAATATTATTAAAAGGTAAAGGTTTCAACTTGACATTAAGTCCAGTCGAGTCCAACTTTGAGGGGTGGTGCTCATCTCCATTTCTAAGCCAAAGAGCCCGCATTGTCCATAGAAACCTCCAAGATCATGTGGCCGACATGACTGCATGGAGCGCCGTTGCCTTCCCGCCAAAGCGGTACCTATTGATCTACTCACATTTGCATGTTTTTGAACTGCTAGGTTGGCAGAAGCTGCGCCTAACAGCCGGAGCTCAGCCCGTTCCTCGGATTTGAACCACCAACCTTTTCGGTCAGCAGGTTCAGCATCTCAGTGGTTTAGCCTGCTGCACCACCAGGGGGCTATATAATGTTTAATAGTAATAAATATTATTAAAACAATTCAATTATGGATAAATGAATAAGTTTTCAAATAAACTTATGAAAGCTTAAAGACAATTCACAGCACGATGCAGCACTTTGTATTTTAAAAGCCTGCGTGGATAAAAAGGCTTTGGCTTGCCATCACAAAGACAACAAGGAGGGAGCCATTATGGCTTCCCTGGAAAAAGCCCAACCAACTCAGCTTACAATGGAGATTGAACCAAGAGAAGGGCTTCCCCTGAGGATCTCAGGGCTCAGGCAAGTTTGTACAAGGAGATACAATTTGCTAAATAGCCTGGACCTCAGCCATATGAGCCTTATAATCATCAACACTTTCAATTGTGCCCGGAAACAAACTGGCACCCAGTGGAACTGCTGCATCAGGGAAGTTGTTTGATTCCTGTTGCCAACCCCAGTTAACAATCTGGCACAGCTCTCTGGACCAGCCAAAGTTTCTGAACGCTCTTCAAAGCTCCAGATCTATTCTGTTCATCCAATAGATTTGAGCATATGATAGACACCAAATTTCAACTGACCAGTTGTTGGGATGGCAGTTGAAGGCAATGTTCCCCATCCCTGTTATGTGTACATGTGTATGTGTGCATGCACACATACATATCATCATCATCATCATTATTTGATACACAACAGGATTAGTCCACAGCAAACAAGATCAGTCTGCTGGCTGTTGTATTGGATCACACGTCAGACACTTCCCAAGTGTCTAGGACTGTATGATATATCAGTGAATAATGCGTGCAGATCATAGTAGGGGAACAAGTTCCACAGATGGGGGGTCACTACCGAGAAGGCCCTGTCCCTTGTCCCCAATAAACATGTTTGCGAGGCTGGAGGGACCGAGAGCAGGGCCTCCCCGGATGATCTTAGACTATGAGGTGGAACATATAGAGAGATACATTCTGATAAATAAGCTGGGCCGGAACCATATAGGGCTTTATAAGCCAAGACCAGCACTTTGAATTGTGCTTGGAAGTGGACCAGCAGTCAGTGGAGCTGACGTAGCAGGGGGGTCGTATGCTCACTGTATGTCGCTCCGGTAAGTAATCTGGCTGCCGCCTGTTAGACTAGTTGGAGTTTCCGGACAGTCTTCAAAGGCAATCCCACATAGAGTGTGTTGCAGTAATCTGTTTGGGATGTAACCAGAGCGTGGACCACTGTGTCCAGATCCGACTTCCCAAGGTACGGGCGCAGCTGGTGCAAAAGCTTTAACTGTGCAAATGCTCCTCTGGCCACCGCCGAGACCTGGGGTTCCAGGCTCAGTGATGAATCCAGAATCACTCCCAAGCTACGAACCTGCGCCTTCAGTGGGAGTGTCACCCCATCCAACACAGGCTGTAACCCTATGCCCTGTCCAGCCTTTCGACTGACCAGTAGGATCTTTGTCTTGTCTGGATTCAATTTCAATTTGTTAGCCCTCATCCAGTCTGGCACAACAGCTAAGCACCAGTTCAAGGTCTGAACAACCTTCTTGGTAAAGGAGTGAAAGAGCAGGCATGGGCAAGCTTTCTAACTTGGGCACCGCATGGCAGGCTGGAGCAAGGTGGATGGGTCAGAAAGGAGGGAGTTCTCCCCAAGTCCCCCTGCTGCCCTTTCCTCCCCTTCCTCTTCTCTTTTGGAGGCAGAAGTGAAGGGAAGACTGGAAATGTTTGGATCCCAAAAGAGTGAGCCTTCATCAGGATGGGAGCTTAAAAGTGTATCCATTAGACCACATATTGCCTACTCCTGATATAGGATCCTAGAATCCTAGAGCTGGAAGAGACTCCCAAGGGCCATCCTGTCCAACCCCCAAAGCACTCCCAATAGACAGCCTCTATAGAAAAGCCTCCAGAGAAGGAGACTCCACCACACTCTCAGGCAGCCCATGCCTTCCTCCAGGAAGTTCTTTTCAGTCCTGCCATTTGAAACGGTTGCTCCCTTGTATCCTGGTTTCTAGGGTAGCAGAAAGCCAGTTTTCTCCATCCTTCTTCTCAATGGGACACCCTTGAAACATGGCTCTCAAGTTTGCTCTCTACCTTCCCTTCTCTCATCTAAACATCCACCAGGATAAAAGGAGGGAGGGAGGGAGAGAAGGAAGGACAGATGGAAGGAAATTGAGGGAGGGAGGGAGGGAGGGAAGATGGAAGGCAATTGAGGGAGAAAGGCAGGAGGAAAGAGAGATGGAAGGAAAGACAAAAGTGGAGGAAGGAAGAAGAAGAAAGAGAGAGGAAAAGGGGGGGAGGAAAGAGGGAGGAAAGGAAGGACGAAAGGGTGGAAAGGAAGGAGGGAGGGAGGGAGAAAGAGGGAGGTAAGGAGGGAAAGAAAGAGAGAAATAAGGAAGGATAGGATGGTGAGAGAGAGAGAGGAGGGCCTGAGAAAATTGTCCAAGGGGGTTTACCCATACCTGCTCTACAGTGATCTGGAGGACCTAAAAATGCATAGAGAGGTATCTTCTGTAGGAATTTGCCAAGTATTTCAGGATGGTTCTTTAGGAACTTCGGGAAGAAGCTTGTCATCGAAAGGCCTGGAAGACCTAACGTATTTCTAGAGGAGGCATATTTGGATGGATGTGGATAGGAGGTTGTGCTGTATTGCTGACAGTTTGCTTTCTTATGGTACTTAAAATTCTTGCAGAGAGAGTGAATAGGTGAGAATTGAAAGTGATTCAACAGAAACTATTAGTCATGCTCTCAGTGTGTATATCTGTTTTTGTTGTATCCTTGAATCGAACAGGTTCTGCAGGTATTTTTCCCAGTAGGTAATACAAATCCTACCAGACTTGTGTAGCAGAGACCACTGTAAGATTAGTGTAATATCCCACATGCAGTGATGTCTATTTAATACTGATTTCATCTCTCTAATTAAACTAATGCTGGCTTTCAGCCAATGAGGCCAATGTAAGGGATTGAGCTAAGTGGAGCTTGTCCGGCCAGATCTAGGTTACATTTTCCTCATTTTTTATCTACGTTCTACATAATCATAGTTACGTTATTTATTAATCTGGATTTCATAGTTGCTGATTGATGCCCCAGTGTGACAGGTTGACTCTTAAAACATTGGCCCACAGGAAAGGGCTTTCCAGACTGATTCTTTTCTTTGGTTCCAGTTTGGATGTTTGAAGCATACTTCAAAGGTTGAGCTTTGGAAATGTTTCTCTGTTTTCAGCTCTGGGATCATTCGCTCCTTCTTACCCATGCTCTGCTCCGCGTAACCCATCTCTCCTTTTTTTTGGATTGGAAGAACTGTGCTATTTTGAGATTTTGGCCATTATTACATCATTTCGCAATTGCGCAATTCCGGTTCCTTGGTTGAAAAACTTCCCAACCCAACTTTCCTTTTCTTTGATTGGACAAACTGTGCTATTTTGAGATTTCATCCATTATTGTGAAAATCCATCATTTCGTGTTTTCATCAGTACGTCATTTTGCAGTTGCGCAATTCTGGTTCTCTGGTTTTGCTGTTGGTTGAAAAAATTGACCTCTGGGGAAATATCCCACAGTGTCTGAAAGTGAACTAGAAAAAGAAAAGAGAAAGGATTAGCACACTAATAACCTATTGACCTTATTGATAAAAACTATGCAACAGAAAGCAAGAGTTACCGTAAGTGTATACAAAGCACATTTTAGAAAATCAGAACAGAAACTTTTAGAGTTGCTAAATGTGAAGACTGACTGCAAAATTGGCGAGATATGTCCAAATGTATCTGTTAGTTTGAAAATGTTGACAATTCCAGCTTCAGCAGAAAAATCGTTTAGCAAACTCAAGATAATAAGAAAAGCTTTTGAAGCTCTGCCATGGCCCAAACCCCAATTCTTGATTTAGCAAGATTGAGTATTGAATCAAGCATTGTCTGAGGAATTGATTGTGCTAGTGTTATTAGAAATTTTGCAGATTAAAAAAAAGCCAGAAAAGCTCATTTCATTAGCTCATTAGGCTTACCGTTGCTTTGTATAAAATACATTGTTATCTGGTCATTGTGGTGGACAGAGAATGAAGCATTTATGAGAGTTCAGCAGTGGTCATATTCAGATAGCCTGAGATTAGCAATCACGTTGAATGCTTTCATAAGCACTCATCAAAAGCTGCCCATGTTGTTCACATTTTATCTTAACCACATTTTTCTGAAAAGAATGGGAAATGATAACTTTGAAATTTCATATTATCTCATTAACTTTATTTGAAAAAAATATAACTGTGGGTTTAAATGAGAGGGGGGTCATAAATCAGTGTTGTTCGGCCTTCCGAAATGTGTCTTGGGACCCTTCTACATTGCCATATAAAATCCAGATTAGGAAGGAAGGAAGGATGAAGGGAGAAAGGGAAGGATGGAAGGAGAAAGAAGGAGAGAAAGAAGGATGGAAGGAGAAAGAGGGAAGGAGTGAGGGAAGGAAGGAAAGACAAAAGAGAAGCATGGAAGGAAGGAGGGGAAGGAGAAAGGAAAGAGAGAAGGAAGGAGGAAGGAGAAGGAAGGAAGGAAGGAAGGAAGGGAAAGGGAGGAAGGGAAGGATGGAAGGAGAAAGAGGGGGGAAAGAAGGAGGAGGAAAGACGGAAGGAAGGAAAGACAAATGGTAAGGAAGGATGAAAGGGAGAAAGGGAAAGATGGAAGGATGGAAGGGGAAAGAAGGAGAGAGAAGGATGGAAGGAGAAAGAGGGAAGGAGTGAGGGAAGGAAGGAAAAACAAAAGAGAAGCATGGAAGGAAGGGGGAAGGAGAAAGGAAAGAGAAAAAGAAGGATGGATGGATGAAAGGGAGGAAGGGAAGGATAAAGGAAAGACAAAAGGAAGGATGAAAGGAAAAAGACAGAGAGAAGGACGAAAGAGAGAAGGAAGGAAGGACAAAAGAGTGGAGGGAAGGAGGGAAGGGAGGGAGTTAAGGAGGAGTGAAAGAGCGAAAGAAGGAAAGACAAAAGGGAGGGAAGGATTAAAGGGTTGGAGGGAACAATGGAAGGAAGGAGGAAGGAAAGGAAGAAGAACAAAGGACAAAAGGGTAGAAAGGGAGTTTGAGGGAGGGAGAAAGGGAGGAGAGGGAGGAAAGAGGGAAGGAGAAGGGGAGGGAAGAAGGAGAAGGGGAAGAGGGAAAGAGAGAGGGAGAAAGGAAGAGAGGAGAAGGAGGAAGGAAAGAGAGAGAAGGAAGGGATGGGGAGAGAGAGGATGGCATGAGAAAAGAGCCCAAGGGGCCACATCCCCCCCCCCCGGCCTGGGTTTACCTATACCTGATTCAGTGCCTTTTTACACGCGCAGTGAACAACAGCGTACAACACAAAGATAAAGGGCTTCCCCTTTTTCCATCTCCAGTATCTGGAAGCAATGCTCAACTCCGGCTACTGGGAGAGGGTGTTTCTGTTCCATTTTTTCATGCCAAGGAGCCTGTTGTCCATGGACATCTCCTATTGTGTTGCCGTCATGTCTGCATATCTGCATGTGGCACCCTTTTACCTTCCCGCCAAGGCGGTGATCTACTTGCATTGCATGCTTTCGAATTGCTAGGCCGACAATTGATAGCTCACTCCAACTAGTAGCTTTGAACTGCCAACCTTCAGTGATCTGCTCATAGAATCATAGAATCATAGAATCAAAGAGTTGGAAGAGACCTCATGGGCCATCCAGTCCAACTCCCTGCCAAGAAGCAGAAATATTGCATTCAAATCATCCCTGACAGATGGCCATCCAGCCTCTGTTTAAAAGCTTCCAAAGAAGGAGCCTCCACCACACTCCGGGGCAGAGAGTTCCACTACTGAATGGCTCTCACAGTCAGGAAGTTCTTCCTCATGTTCAGATGGAATCTCCTCTCTTGTAGTTTGAAGCCATTGTTCCGCATCCTAGTCTCCAAGGAAGCAGAAAACAAGCTTGCTCCCTCCTTAAGCCGCTCCTCATAGGCTTGTTCTCACATTGCATACTTTCAAATTGCTAGGTTGGCAGGAGCTAGGGCTGACAATCAATAGCTCACCCCAACTAGTAGCTTTGAACTGCCAACCTTCTGGTCAGCAGCTTTCCTACAGTGAGCAGTTTTACCTGCTGTGATACCATGGCAGTGTAGACTCAGATAATAATGTGGATTATCTGCTTTGATAATCTGGGTTATATAGTAGTTTAGAAGAGGCCTTGGAAGCCTTGAGCCCTGGGTAACTTTAGGTGAGTCACACTCTCTCAGCCTAGAAGAAGGCAGTGGCTAACACTCCTCTGAATAAACCTTCCCAAGAAAACCCTATGATAGAGTCACCATTAATCACAGTTTGCTTGAAGGGACGTTAACATAACATCAGCTTTCCAGAGGATCCTAGAAGCCCTCAGAATTTCCTCACCACTCAGGGCATTGAATTACAAGAAAGGACATTTTCAGATTTTGTACAAATCATAGTAGAGAGTCTTCCTTTTTTTTTTTTTTGCAACATAGTTGATCATTTGTTGTATCCCTTCTTGCAGGTGAACCTCGATTCCCAAACCCGAGATATCACCAACCGGAACATTTTGCTGCCCACCCGCTCTTGCTTCGAACAGGCCCAGAGGCGCATCTTTGGCCTGATGGAGAAGGACTCGTACCCCCGATTCCTCCGCTCTCTTGTTTACCAAGCCTTGGTGCATTCAAACAGACAGCAGCCCAATGGGCCTGTGTAAACCTGCTGGACTTACCCTCCATTTCTCCAATGGGGTTGACCAAGGAGAGGAGGGGGAAAAAACTCTTTTCATCAACCTAGAGTTCCCATGCTTGCTGGTTCATGACTTGCATAGCCTAAAAACACATGAAGGAAATGGATTATTGGTTTCTCCGAGGCCAGTTGGACCAGTTCTGGTGATGCGGTGGACTTGTCATGTCGATAAATAATTTTTTCTGCAGATAAAAGAGATCATAGAAAATTGGCACTTTACCTGTTTGGCACAGCAGGTTATTGTGGACTGATATAATATATATTAGAATTCTAGAATCATTCACTGAACTGTGTCTGTCCCATTCTTCTGTGGGGAATCCAACCTGAATTAATACCTTATAGAAAGGTCAGACCAGTCCAAATCTCACAACACAGCATCCCTAACTTCCAGTGCCCTAGAAAGCCATCTTCCCTGCCCTTCTTACAGAAAAGGACTTTTTTGGTAGTCAGCACTATGCAAGGCACTGCTCCTTCACATTTCCTTCACATTTCTCACAGTGCCTCTTGAGTATTGGACTACAACTGGAGTTTGATTTACACAATTTCAGCAATTCTGAAAATAACATCTCAGGTTTACTAATAAGGATATTATTGCAAGTGGAGAAATGTGCATGGAGATTGCCAGTATCTCCATATGCAGTAGTTTTCACATGCTGCTCAATGGCACTGCTCTGCTCCCACACGCAAACAACAACATGAAAAACTAAAATAGTTGCTCATCCATCAGTGCCAGTCAGAAAAGCATTGTCACTGCATAGGCCAGTGGTTCTCAACCTGTGGGTCCCCAGATGTTTTGGCCTTCAACTCCCAGAAATCCTAACAGCTGGTAAACTGGCTGGGATTTCTGAGAGTTGTAGGCCAAAAACATCTGGGGACCCCAGGTTGAGAACCACTGGCATAGGCTATTGGAAATTCCATAATCCATTGGAAATAACTGCACCATAACCTTATTGAAAAGATAAAAATGATGTCACATCCATTTGGCAAATGCGACTCTCCATGAACATGTGGAGACCACCTTTTGAAAACCACTAATAGAGAAAAGCATAACCTTGTTAGAAGTAAATCCTTTGAATAATGATATCCACAAGCATTAATGTAATGGCACACAGGTAACTCAGGTGTTAAACTGAAGAACCATGTCTTTAAACTACGAAGGATAAAGACATGCCACTACAAAAATATATTTGGTTAGCAGAAGATGGTTGTTTCTTTGAAGTTGCCCATCTACTCTCCCTTAACCTCTTGTTTAAAATATGCACTCAAGAGACAAAACAAAGTAGTCTTCTTTAAAAACAACATCTCAGGTTTACTAAAAAAACTTCTTGTATATATTCACCATACAAGCACATTTCTTATTAGAGTTCAGTTAGAGGCAAAAGTATGATAGCTGGTACCCAACGCTATGCTACTTGCGGCTGTGAATTAAGGAAGGGAAGAAGTGCATGAGACAGCGGAGCGAGTAAGAAATTAAATAACTGAAGTAATTTAACTCAGGTGGGACAGGATAAGAGTGAAGTAATGTAATGTTTGCATACAATATCCGGGTAACCTTAAGCACTATGCTTGGCTGTTTGTTGTGCCCCCCCCCCTTTCTGTCCCCCCTCCTTTCTTTCTGGCATATTATCTTGCCAGGACTCTGTTGAATCTGCGTCTCTCACTCGCTCCACTGTCTCACGCATGTGTTCCCATCATTAATTCAGACCCGCGTTACACAACCAGCGTAGGGTCCCAGCTACTAGCGTAGGGTCCCAGCTATCATACTTTTGCCCAGCTAGATAAGGTGTAGTTTCTTCTCTGTGTTGAGTACACAGGGTATGATATTTAATCAATTCTCCATAGTTTTGAGTATAGCTGTACTCACTGAAGTCCAAAAGTCATACTTCTCACTAAAGTCCAAACAGCTACATGCATCCCTCTTCACTGAGATCTGATGCAAACACATCCACTTCCAATGAGGTGGTAAGCAGACTGATTACAAAATAGAGTGCTGAGTCTGCACATGCTCAGTATAATCACGTCTATAACTTCTCCCACACAAAAGAGGTAAGTCAAACTGGCAACTCATCATCATCATCATCATCATCATATTTAATTACTTATTAATCGCCCTCCATCCGAGATGCTCTAGGCCAGTGGTTCTCAACTTGTGGGTCCCCAGGTGTTTTGGCCTACAACTCTCAGAAATCCCAACCAGTTTACCAGCTGTTAGGATTTCTGGGAGTTGAAGGCCAAAACATCTGGGGACCCACAGGTTGAGAACCACTGCTCTAGGCGATTTACAAGCTAAATTGTAAAAGATAAAAATACATACATACAGAAATTAATGATTAACATAAATCAACATGCACATAGAATATAGGTTAACAATTATACACATTTACGAACAGTGGAGTCTTGGAAGGTTGCTATTTCCAACATAGGCCTGTTGAAAAGGGGATTGGTGGTCAATATTGGAAATAGTTACACGTTTGGAGTACATCTCCCAAACAATGGCATCCATCACTAAGGGGATAAGGAGGTGCAGACCTCAGGAGGTAGCACCAAACTCTAAGAATGAATTCCTTCTTTCTTTTGACTTATGATCATCCATATATTTATTTTGGTTTTCATGGGCAAGACATACAGTATATCAGAGATGGGTTTCAAATTTTCCTACAGCACTTGATACGACAGGTCCATATTTTTTCCCGCTGGGTTAGGGACTGAATTGCTATCAGAAAATGGTATTGGTTGAAAAGTGGAATCCAGTTGTTTTTAACCTGAAAATGAAAAACTAAGCACTAGGTGGTGCTAAGTTGACTGAGGAAAAGCCCCAATGTTCCAAAACATCAGCTACAGTGGTTAAAAGAGTAGTGTAAAAGGGCAGAACATGCCTATAATTTAGATCAGTGATTCCCAACCTGTGGTCCAATCACCACCAAGAACGAAAATATGGTTCCTCAGCCTCAGGCATGAGGAATTCTCATGGTGATCTGCGAAAAGGCATTACTGGTACATTATTTAAACTGTCATGTTTATTCATATCATGATCTGATCACCATTCTCAATATATCTCATATGCATGGGGGTATTGGGGTAACAATACAAAGGGTTTGCTAGGGTAGACCTTCTTTCACTCAGACTCAGCTCCCCCCGAATCAAAATCCTGGCTACGGGCCTGCTCAACCTGATATCAGTGCCTGATATGGAGGTTAAGTTATATATCCCAAATTATATTATACATCTGACCGCTGCAAGTACAGAGGTATTCCTTGCAGTTGTGTGGATAAAAATGGTTCATGTGCATGCTTCCAACATCTATGTCTACGTTTCCAGGTTGTATTTGGAGTAGGGTTCCTGCCACTTTAATCCTAAACAGATCACATATTGGGTTGAGGCACCAGAAAGGTCCCTCAAACTATCATAGAATCATAGAATAACAGATTTGGAAGAGACCACGTGGGCCATCAAGTCCGACCCCCTGCCTCCATCATCTTCCAAACCCCAACTTTCATCCACAGTTGACCCCTTCCAAAATGGCTGGGCGAAACAGAAGAGAATTCAAGGGGATACTCTTCTATTTGTCCAAAGATGATAATCATAACATATTCACTTGGTATAGCACATGAGATTCTTGAGGATTCAAAACTAATTCAGTTCTTTTTCATCCCCTGGGGGCTCAAATCTGAGTTCAAAAGTCAGCCTTTTAACTGGTACTTTTCTGAAAGCCAGAATTATTTTACATATTCTACAGTCACCTTTGGTGTTGTGTTAGGGTCAGGCATGTAGCTGAAGGCCCCCCCCCCAGCCCCCCCCTCCCCCCGAAATTCTCATGGTGGTTCGTGAAAAGGCCTTACTGGTGCATTATTTAAACTGTTATGTTTATTCATATCATGATCTGATCACCATACTCAATATATCCCATATGCATGGGGGTATTGGGGTAACGATACAAAAGGTTTGCTAGGGTAGACCCTCTTTCACTCAGACTCAGCCCCCCCCCGAAAGAAACTCACCCCCCCCCCAATCGAAATCCTGGCTACGGGTCTGGTTAGGGTGCAATGTGATTTGGGATGGGGGAAGTTTCCTGATACTTCCCTTCATGGAAAGCTACATACAGCCCACATACAGGGGCGGCTCATCCATTACGCGAAGTAAGCGGTCGCAGAACACTTTTTTTTGCCAGGGGCGCAGAGGCGCCTCTGTAAATGCCCCTCGACCGCCACTTGAGGAGCGCCCCCTCAGCTCACAACAGCCCTAGCAGTCCGGGGGGAGCCTCGGCTTTCTTGCCTCGCTGCCGGGCGATCCTCTTCCCAAAGGGGCCGGGCCCTTGAGCCTCGCCTTGCCCCTCTCGTTCCTGCTCCACCCGGCCACCGGGTGCGCGAGCAGAGCCGGCGCTCAATCGTTCTCCGCGTTCGATCCCTTCCCCATGACCGGCTCCCTTTCCCGATCCCCGCTCCACCCGCCTCCTCTCCTCTCCCCAATCCGCGGGTGGGCCAAGGGGCGGAGCCGCCGCGTCTGGCCTGCTTTGGGTCCGGAGGCGTGTCTGAAGACCCCAGCGTGCGCACCAAAAGTCGCCTCTTCTCCTGACTTTCTCTTCAGCCATTGGGACCAAGAGAGAGAGAGAGAGAGCCCCTCCGGCTGGAGGTATCTCCCACCTCCGCTCCCTCCTTTGTTTTTGCGCCTACCTTCAGGAAAGGTGGGTATCTCCACCTCTCTCTCTCTCTCTCTCTTGGTCCCAATGGCTGAGGAGAAAGTCAGGAGAAGACATGACTTTTGGTGCACACGCCGGGGTCTTCAGGCACACCTCCGGACCCAAAGCGGGCCAGACAAGGGAGCAAGTGCGGCAAGTGTAGTTAATGGGATGTATAGTTCACCTACAATCAAAGAGCATTCTGAACTCCACCAATGATGGAATTGAACCAAATATGGCACACAGAACTCCCACGACAAACAGAAAATATATATCAATGATTGGTTGGAGGGGGGGCGCCAAAATACTGTTTGCTTACCGTTGAAAATTACCTAGGGCCGCCTCTGCCCACATACAACCACCTTTGTTTCTCAAAAGTACATTCATGTGAATATAGTTGCCATTATTTTTGAAGCTGTCTTAATGCAAATAATTGCATCAATCAGCATTCAAACAGCTTTGATGGTCAATGCCCTATTGAGACATACATATAAAATGTGGACATACATATATTCCAATGCACAAAGAAGGGAGGGAGGGGAGGGAGGGAGGGAGGGAGAGAAATTGAGCACCTTCAGTCATGGGGTTTGGAAATAACACGAAGGAAA